ATCAAGTGAATAAATCATCTGATGAAAAGAATGAACTGGTGATTATAATAGAATCAGGGACATAGAAAGGGAATGGACTATTCTTGGGGGGGAAAAGGGTGTGGGAGATGTGGGAAGAGACTGGACAAAAAGCGTGCACCTATGGATGAGGATAGTGGGTGGAGCGTGAGGGAGGAGGGTGGGGTGGGAACCCGGTGGAGGGGAGCTATTAGGGGAAAAAAGAGGAACAACTGTAATAATCTGAACAATAAAGATTTAAGTAAAATAAAAAACTTAAAAAAAATAAAATGTATAACGTGGAGACCCAGGAACTATACCATGAACCATTATAGCACTAAAAATAACACCTGACCATTTATTTTTTAACATATTAGTAACAGGGAACCATCAAGGCTGGTATGTTCATCTCTATTATAACCAAAGGTTCTTCCCCTTCCTCCCCCACCTTTTAAAATAGCCTTAAAAATGTGATGTTACCCGTGACTAGGTCTCTTAAATTAAAAAAAACAACAACTGCATATAAAGGAGTGTCTTGTCTTAACATTCTCTTCATTCTCTGAAGAATGTGCATACTGCACTAGCCATGGCCGGAATCAATACCAAGGATTTGCAAAGAACAAGAGCAGGTCTACTCATCCTAAAAATAAATCACTATATATTATATTATCATCATATAATTATAATATAATAGTATAACATTTATTATTGTAATTTAGAGTATACTGCAGTATAGTGTAGTATAATAGTAATAGTATAATAATATAACAATAATATTAATTTATTTTCTAAATTGAGACATATATTTCTTTCATTGTGTTGAATAGAGACCCCCTGAAAGTGAAGAGGCACTTTTTATTTTCAACACAATAGCAACAAAACACCATAAACCAATATTATGATAAATTATTTTTACATATATATCTCTTGCGTACTGAAATCATAGATTTTAGGCTTATAATTTCATTTGTTACAATAAAACAATATAAAAACAACCATTCTCCTAAGGATCATGCTTGGCTATTAAGAATGGTTAAAGAACAAAAATTCAGATCTGAAGATCCAATTGTCTTCATTGAGCGATTCATGTCAGGTAGCATCCCATCTAGTACACAGAGAGCTTCTCCAAGAAGTTTAAATATGGAAGACTTTCATTGGTAGAAACTAGACAGGACAAGGATGCTATTAGCAAAAGAAAAGAAAGGATTTTTTCTGGCCAGGCTACCTTCCCTTTGATGAAGGCTGGATCTGATGGGGCAGATTGCCTCAGCTTCATTGCAAAGGGGGATTGTGGTTGGAGAGGGTCATGACAAATTATCTCACTGGTGCTGACCAAAAATTCCAGACCTACCAATTGAGATTATATGCCTGCAATTAGATCAGGTATTAAGTCTAAGTTCCATGTGATGGGCTTTATAGCACAAGTGACTCCATTTTAGGCCGGTGGTTTTCTTTAACAGAACTCTATTTTTAAAGAAACTGCTTATGAGGTACTTAAAATTAATTATTATTTTATAAATAAACAACTTAAATTAGATTAATTCAGTTTTCTAATCTGTAGACCTAGTCTATATCAAATGGTATTTAATCAGATTATATCTTTGTATTTCTAAAACATTCCGAATAATATATTGCGGACTGTAAGCATTTTATAATGTAACACTGTAATGGAGGTGTGAAAATCACTTTTAAATTAGTATAAAAGTAAAAAACTAAAGTATTAAGAACACTTGTAACTACAAAAATTAGTTAATTTCTATTTCATATTAATAATGCATTTGTTGGGTTGGGGGAGGGGGGGTAAGAGATCAACCGAAGGACTTGTATGCATGCATATAAGCATAACCAATGGACACAAGACACTGGGGGGTAGGGGAGGCCTGGGGAAGGTCAAGGTGGGGGAAAAAGGAGACATATGTAATACTGTTTGTAATACTTTAAGCAATAAAACAAATTTTTTAAAAAATAATGCATTTGTAATCAGAAAATTACTTCAGCCTAAACACATGGTTTGCTAAGCTTTATTTATCCTAAGATGATGTGTTTTTGCTTTTTTTTAATATATTTTATTGATTTTTTACAGAGAGGAAGGGAGAGAGACAGAGAGTTAGAAACATCGATGAGAGAGAAACATCGAACAGCCGCCTCCTGCACATCTCCTACTGGAGATATGCCCACAACCCAGGTACATGCCCTTGACCGGAATTGAACCTGGGACCTTTCAGTCCGCAGGCCAACGCTCTATCCACTGAGCCAAACCGGTTTCGGCTAAGATGATGTGTTTTATACAAGTAAAGAATTACATCAATTAAATACATAATCTCCAGCATTTTAATTGCTATTTAATATTTTACTATAGTTTTTTATTCCCAAAAATTCTTCTAATTTCAAGGAGAGGTAAAAAAAAAAAAAAGTAACTAAGTTTTACTATATACAGTTGACTTTATTAAGCAGATCTTGAATATTTTCTTGGTTCTTTCACTCCCCTTTTAAAATTTTTATTAGAAAATTGCACTAAAGCATAACAATAAAGCTTCCCTTATGACTCCTAAAACACACCAGGCAGTGCCTGGCTCTGTGCATGGACTACATGCTTCTCTGCTCCACTAATAAGTGGAGGTTCCCTCGAGTCCTGACTAGTCACTACCAGTATATAGAGATTCTTGGGCTTTGTAAACGTAAAGGCTTTACTTCAAATATTCAAACAAGTAATCTCAAGGTATAGTTCTTTTCTTTATTTCCTCTATCAACCATGGTTTGTAAATGCATAGAGTATAAACTAACATTCTAAATAAATATGGATATCTTCATTAATTTCATGGAAGTCAATGTATTATATATATATATTATTGATTTTAGAAAGGAAAAGTGAGATAGAAATATCAACGATGAGAGAGAATCATTGATTGGCTGCCTCTTGCACGACCCACAATTGGGATCAAGCCTGCACCCAGGCATGTGCTCTGACTGGGAATCTGAACCGTGAACTCCTGGTTCATAGGTCGATGCTCAACCCCTGAGCAACACTGGCTGGGCTGGAAATCACTTTTCTAAAATAAATTTAATTATTACAAACATGTATGGTTATTTTAGGATTAATTATTATGATTATAATATAGGAAACACATTAAACTATGAATTTACAAACATGTAATAAGTGCCAGTGTCAAAGCAATTTTTTAATGGTCACTAGGAATTACCACATCAGCTTTTAAGGTGTAATAGTGAGAACATAAAACTTTATTTATTCAGAATAATTAGAAGAAAAGGCAACTCAGACCTGTAAAAATCCAATTTATGAAATATTTTAAAAGAAACTCTGTTTTTATAATTTTTAAAAACAAGGAAAATACATTGCTCATTTACTATTTAGTTATTAGGAATAAAACAAGAAGGGAGGGAAAATCACTATACAAAAGATTTTCCTTGCTGCTATTGAAGTGTTGCATTAAAAAGGAATATTGGAAAATAGTATCATCCTTTTGTTCCACCCTGAATATATATATTCACAGCTCAAATATTTGAAATGTAGTGTTTGCAGAATTATTCTGATAGGATGTGTAACTTGATGATTAGAAGAACATCTGAGTAAGCTCTTCACATTCCATTCTTGCTTATTATGTTCATTTAGATGTATTTGTCAATTTATAAATACAGTTAATTAAAATTTTTTAAATTTTCTTTTTTTTTTTTTTAAGGAGCCCGCTACATGAAAAAAATGCAAGTCAAAGTGGTCACAACCTAGAAGTCTGCAGAGACAGGAATAACTAGCAAGTAGATATTATGTTATTTTGCTATGCTTAAATATGTAGAATTCCATAGTGTTCTTAGAATTTTACTCTATAATAACCAAATAGTCTTATAATTTAAAATTCACACTTAGTAATATTTGTGTTAACTATATATTATATTACAAAAATAGGAAGAAAATAGTAACTATGAATTTCAGGAAAACAATTTTCTGTCAATATTAATGAAATTATTTTGGTCATAAAGATAAGTTTAAATATTTTATCCTCTCTTAGGCCTTATTTCTAGAGCCCCAATTCAACAATATATTTCTTTATAAAAAAAGATTAAGACTCTCCCTATGCCTCATGACATACTTAGCTACTATGTAAATATATTAATTCCTCTCATAAACCATTAATAGAAATTATGTTATAGCCATACTTTAAGACTAAAGTAAATTACATTCACTTTTGAAGGTTACATTTCAAAATTTCAAGGTACTATCAAATGAAATCCAGACACAAAGCAGGATCTTTCCGTTTATCAGTACTTACCGACATTTTCAAGTAATGAAATAATGCAGTGTTTGGATGAGTGGATTAAGAAGAGGATTTAAGAACATGGGAAGGGTAAATAAAATTATTTAAATGGCAAAAAACATTTTTGAAAAATTCATTGTTTCACATTAAAGTTGTTGGAGTTTATTCTTTCTCCAAATGTATCTTGAAAATCGTAATAGAATCAGAATGTTAAGGCTAAAAGTTTTTAGAAAGTATTTACCTCAAATCTTTTATGGATATGGATTAAGAAACTGATATGTATATATACATATTTTAATACACACACCAATACATTTACATATACATAACATACATCTTTTTTAAAAAAAATTTATTATTGGTATTATTCCAGATGTCCCCCATTTCTCTCCCCACCTTTGCCTTCTATCACCCAAATCCCGCCCTCCCCTCCCTCTGGCCCTCACACATTGTCTGTGTTCATGGGCTATGCATATATGTTCTTTGACCATTCTCTTCACCTTCTTTCATCCTGTCTTTCCCACCCTCCTTTTAGATAAAACTTAACACAGTTAGTTCTTAATTTAACAAGAATTTTCAGTGGTAATGATGATTAAAATATATTTATAAAGAGAAGTGTACTGTATAAGATATGATGGCATTATCTATAATAAAATATTTTAGAAATTGTACATTTTATATTTATATTTAAAAATCCTATAATAGTAGAAGTTTCTCTAATTATAAAAATGTTTAAAATTGTGTTTCAATTGCTCAACAGTACAGTTCCTAAAGAATTATATAAGCCAGCAGAAGTTTCTTCCCTTTCTGTCTTCTTTTACGGCTTTATAAATGACGCCATGGATAATAAGTACCTCACATATAAACTCTTAGAAATATTCATACAATTGGAGCCATATATCTTGATAACAAGAATGCTAAGTAATGGTTCAATAGAGAAGGATCATTATAATGTAAATTACTAGCCTTTAATGTATCTGGTCTATAAATTTAGAGTTTTTCTCTTGGGTTGTAAAACAGTGATACAAGCTTGCATTATGAGGCAGTGGAAAGCAAAAGTTCTTTCAAAATTCTAAGACTTTTAAAATAGTTCAGTTGGATTATCTTTCTAATAAAGGAGAGAAAATTTTTTTAAAAAAATGTGTTTAGAAAATATGTTGGTAATAGTCAACATCAATTTTAGCTCAGAAGGAAATGAAGATCATAATTTAAAAGGCATTGAAGAACTTGAAAGAAGAGTTAGTGAAAAAAAGGAGAAACATCTGGTAGACTGTTGAGAGAGTCTGGTGGTGGAAGACCAGGTAATTGATGCTTTCAGTAATCCAGGTGGACAATTTCAGAGTCAAACTAAGGTGGCGGCAGTAGAGATACTGAACAGGACTTTGATTCGAAAGAAATACCTTCTTCACTGTATTCTACAGAAGCTTGACATGGATCCCATTATTTTAGATCTGGTATATTAACTTTCAGCAGAGGATATTAAAATGCTAGCTTTAGACAGTGAAATTCAGGTGCCTGTGGCAAAGCAAAATGGGTATCTCACAGGGATGATGGAAATTCAGAACTGAAGCTCTAGGATTAGAAGACATATGGACTTAATTTATCTGAATAGAGATAGTGATTGAGGCCACCAGAATGTAATCAGGCAGAAAACATATACAGGGGGAAGGGGAACATTACCACAGGTACAATTCCTAGGATCAATATTCAATCATCAAAAGTGGAATGAAGCACAAAAACACTGAGCAATAGTCAAAAGTAAGAGTAAAACTGGCTTCCAGTGTTTATGTTTTGTTTTAAAAAAATAACAACAAAGCAGGCAGATTCATAGACATTAACTGTTAAAAGCTGCTGAACAACCTAGAAGGAAGATGACTGAGGGAGCAAAAGCTTTGGGGCATCACAATTAGTCAGTCATTGGGAGCCCTAAGGAAGAGCATCTAACTTTGAAGGCCAGACGGACTTACGAGTCCCTTTCAATATAGTGACTTTATTCTTTACCTTATCTCCTTCCTACATCAAGCCCAATGATAGAATTATGTGGTTCAGATTTATCTTTGGATGGCTTTATATTTTTAAACCAGATTTAATAAGTCAGATTTACTTAATCTCAGGATATCTTTCTATTGCAATCACCCTAAAACATCCCATAATTTGAATAGCTAATGCAATTGAATGTACCTTGGTTAAGGATATCTTCATTACGAGATAATCCAGTCAAATACATACACCCTATTATTACTTCATTCAGCCATCTCATAAATGATTTCCCTCAGCAGGCTGACAAATATTCTATTTGCATCTTTGTTAGGAAAATCCCAGTCCTCCTGCAGTGTTTCTCCTTTACTCTCATACTACTACCACACCCACAAGACTTCAGACAACAATTGATTTTTTGTGACACCAGCTGGGCATCCTACAATTTAACTCTATTCTGACACTGTCTACCTAGAGAAGCATCAGATCTCCCAGGTTAAGCCCTCAGTCACTTCAGATGACCCACACACACTTCAGATGGCAAACCCATGTAGCAGGTCTCCGGGTTACCCACAACTTCTGTCCAACTTGGCTACAAATTGGAGGTTCCCATGACTTCCTCCCCTTGGATTCTGTTATTTGCTGGAACAGCTCACAGAACTCAGGGAAAACTTACTTACATTTATCTGTTTATTAAAAGACATGATAAAGGATACAGATGAACAGTCAGATGAATAGATACGTGGTCTGGTAAGGTTCGGAGCACAGGAGCTTCTGTCCCTGAGATGTTGGGTTGTATTATCCTCCTGGAATGGGGACATGCTCACCACCTGACAGCTCTCTGAATCGCATACTATTGAGATATTATGGCGGATTACTCATGTAGGCATGACCAATTTTTAACCCCATTTCCAGTCCCTCTTCCTTCCTGAAGAATAGGAGGTAGGGCTGAAAATTCCAAGCTTCTAATTATGGCTTGGTTTTTCAGGTGACCAGTTCCCAACCAGGACCCACGCAGAAGTTCAACCAGAGTCATCTCATTAGAACAAAAGACATTCTTATCACTCAAGAAGCTCTAAGAGATTTAGGAACCCCGTTTCAGGAACTGGGATCAATGACCAAATGTTAGAACAATCTGCGAGTACCTTTATCGCTTAGGAATTTACAAAGGTTTAATGAGCTCTGTCAAAAACTGGGGGCATAGATGTGCCTGTCTATCTGTCCATCCATCCATCCATTCATCCATCCATCCATCCATCCATCCATCCATCCATCCATTCATCCATCCATCCATCCATTCATCCATCCAGTGCTAATAGTTCCTAGCACATAGTAGGAACTTACAAGATATTTTTGAATGAAAGAATGAATGCTTTTCTCCCTGTGGATTATTCCTACATTCTTTTTAAAGTACTGTTACCTTCTTGCAGCAAGTACCCTCAGAATTGTTTGGCTGTCTTTAAATCCTTAAATAAACAAAAGACTAAGAGGAAAATAAGTAAAACTTTTTAAAAAAAATACATATATTTTTATTGATTTCAGAGAGGAAGGAAGAGGGAGAGAGAGATAGAAACATCAGTGATGAGAAAGAATCATTAATCACCTGCCTCCTGCATGCCCTCTACTAGGGATCAAGCCTGCAATCCCGGCATATCCCCCAGCCAGGAATTGAACAGCGACCTCCTGTTTCATAGGTCAGATGAGCCACACCAGTTGAGCAAGTGTAACACTTTTATGTGAGATTTTCCCACCTGATTCTCATTAGTACTATTATTATTTTTCTTTCCCTGGCACTATAGAGTTAATTTTCATGATTGTAATTAGAGCAGAATAGCCAACAAATCTTTTAAGACTTTTTATTTAGAAACAGATTACTCTTAAGTCTTTTTACTGCTTTATTTATTTATTTTTTTTTTGGTCCACAATAAAAATAGCATTATTGCTTTATTTCAATTATACAATCCATGCTTACTGTAGAAATTTCAACCAATGTATGAAAGCATAATGAAGAAAGTTGCTTGAAAAGCCACCCAAATGATATAATGATTAACATTTACATTTTTTATGGTTTGACCACTTTCTCATTATGAAATATTCTTTTTTATTTCTAATGATTATTCTTGTTTATTCTACTCTTTCTGTTCTTAGTAAAACTACTGCCAGCTTTCTCTTAGGTAATATGGTCATGTGTTTTTTTAATTAACTTTATTAGGTTAATAAGATTATATAGGTTTCAGGTGTACAACTCTATGATACATCATCTGTATACTGCATGTATTTTTTTTGCAGCCTTCTACTTTCAGTCTTCTTGTGTTCTTATATTTATGATTTCTTATAAATATCATATAATAGACTTTTTTAAAGTCTAGTCTATAATATTGATCTTTTATTTGGAATATTAATTCATTTACATTTATAATTATTTGCTGATATAATTGGATTTATATCTATCATGTTACTCTTTATTTTCTCTTAATAACCTATCTGATTAGGTTTGTTTTGCTCTTTTTTATTGCTTTCTATTGA